CCCTCTGGTGTCCCACCCTCTGGTGTCCCACCCTCTGGTGTCCCACCTTCTGGTGTCCCACCCTCTGGCCCTGTCCTCACCCACTTCCCCTGAGATGCTCACTGCTGGGTGTGAGGCATGTACCACCCTCTGGTCCTTTCCTTACCCACTTCACCTGGGATGCTCACTTCTGCGTGTCTCATTATTTGTGGCTGGTACCTCATTCGGGACTGCCCAACCACCTTTCTGTAGAAAACTTTCGTGACCACGTCCATCCACCCCAGTGTCCATCCCTGACAGGTCCCACTCACCTTGGTTTCCTCTAGAACTTCTCTGTCTTCTAATTGTGTTATTCAATGACTTTTGTCTGTTACCACCACCATCACCTCCACCACCCACACCAGCTCCACCCACACCACCTCCACCACCCACACCACCTCCACCCACACCACTTCCACCCACACCACCTCCACCCACACCAGCTCCACCCACACCACTTCCACCCACACCACCACCACCACCTCCACCTCCACCACTTCCACCACCACCAATGTTAACACCTGAAGGCTGGGTGGGTCCCATTTGTTATTTACTCTGTGTCTAACATCTAAAACAGGCCCTGGTTTGTAGTAAATACTCAGTGACTATTTATGGAACTTATGAGATATAAACTGGTATGTTTTCTCATCAATTACTAAGAAATTTATCCTTAATATAAGTTTGTTGTATTTTTTCAGATATATTCAGTCACTGTAAATGATGCTACTATAAATATCTTATTTCAGATAAATAATTTCTCCACCTTTCAATTATTTTCTTGAGTCAGATTTGCAAGGTAAAATTATCAAATGGCTTCCATGTGGTTTTTCGTCCATCTGTGATGCTGTTCGGGATTTATGCGACACATTGTGCTGTCTTACTGCTCTGGGTTTTCATCTGTTTGTTATTCTTATGGTGCTGGTCTTAGAGCCTCTTGAAGGTACGGCAAGCGCCCTGTCATTGAGCCACACCCGCAGCTGCTGTCGGGCTCATCTTATCTCTGTTTTCCCCAGTCCAGTAGGTATAAACATGCTCTGTGATCGTTTTTATTAGCATTCCTCTGACTTTTAACTGTCCATCTTCAGGAATGAAAGCCTAATCAAAAAAAATCTTCATTCTTTTTATTTTTTGAGGGGAATCTCAGGGTATGGTTTATTTATTCATGCTTTTCGCAGCAGACAACCACTTACCTCTAACTGTATTTGTTACAGGTATCCTGACATTCTACCATCCCCTTCTCTGCGCTTCTAACCAGATGTGACCATGTGTTGTTTTCTGCAGCTGTGGACTACTGCGCCTCAGGAAATCATGGATGTGAACATGAGTGTGTAAATGCTGAAGGTTCCTACCTGTGCCAGTGCCACGAGGGATTTGCTCTCAACCCAGATAAGAAAACATGCACAAGTAAGTTACACACACACACACACACACACACACACACACACACACACGTACACATGGAGTGAAATTGCTGTGGGCACTTTGGACTTAGAACTCTCCCACATACGGATTATCACATATTAAGTCATGGGCTCTGCCCTTGTTCCTCTCTGTCAGGCCTTTCTAAATCACCCTAAGACTGTGGCTTCCTTGGTCTCGATGTCTCCAGGCAAAATATTTGAAGGCGTCTTTTGTTGGGGACTCTGTGAGGGCATGCTCTCCCAGCATCTGCTAGCATGCTAACACTCAAACCCGTGTCCCACATGCTGCCTCAGCACGGCTGTGTCTGTCATTAGAACAGGGCCTGAGGGATATTTTCACTGAAGCTTTGTGGCTTGTGGGCTCCAGCTCCGACTCCACATGAGGACCAGAGAATCGCTGAACTGAAAGGAATTGAATGTGGTTTCTTGGGAGTGGGGTGGGGATAGGTGAACCTTCGTCTGTTTAGTTCTGTTTGACTTTAGCTATGTTCATAAATATTGAAATTGATTTGAACTCCTAAAATTAGAACAGAAAATTTACAAACTAAAGATGATCCCCAGTTTTAAAAACAATGCCAGAAGGATTCTTTTAAACTTAAAGGTGTAAGGGTCTTCAGTACAGTGAAAGACCACGTGAGAGATGCCTGCTTCTGAAGTCTTAGGGCCCAGTGGCATTTTAATGAGGTTCAATAACAATTAAGAGTAAAATAAGGCTCGGGTGGTGGTGGTGCATGCCTTTAATCCCAGCACTCAGGAGGCAGAGGCAGGTGGATCTCTGTGAGTTCGAGGCCAGCCTGATCTACAAATGGAGTTCCAGGACAGCCAGAGCTGTTACACAGAGAAACGCTATCTTGAAAAAGCAAAAAAGAAAAAGGATAAAGCAAGGCACCACTACAATGAGGATTTTAATTTATATAAGTTTGTGTACCTTCCATCTTTTAAAGGTACATCCAGTGTGTGTTTCTGTACATGTTTTCAAAAGCATTCTTCCTTTCATTCAGTCCCTTAATGTCAACAGCTTCAAACCCCAGGGGCCTGGCACATTACATCCAAAACATGTTCTTGGAGCCCCAAATGAAGGAGGCATGGGTCATGGCTGGATTTTAAAGTGAGCTGTCATTCACCACATGAATGGGTTTGCCTAGGAAGGAAAGCAGCGCTACAATAACACCAGAAGGGCGTTTAGACCTCCACACCCAGCACACGGCTAATGCACAGTTCTTTGTCTGAGTAGAAAGGTTGAGTAGGCTGCTCTCCTCCCAGGTTCCCCTCCTCTCTGTGCAAAACTTGAGCAGTTCTCGGCAAGATGCTGTCCACCTCTCCCCACCCCATGCCCAAGAAACCACATTCTGAACTATGAACAACAGTCAGGCTGTCGCTGTGGCTGGGAGCTGTGGCTGTCGGGCAGATGAGTCAGCATCCCCATCAAAGAGGGACCCTGTGCTCCTAGGTCAATTGCGGCATCTCTGCCTTTCCCCGGGGTGATCCGGGGGAAAACCTCATGCTGCAACAGGAGATGATAATCCACACTGTTTCACAGACTAAATGAGATCATTTAGTAGAAGTGATTGATCAAATTGTCAGGTGCCAATTATGTTTTTATGAACAATGGATGATACTTGGATCTGGGAAGGTGGCTCGGTTGGTAAGGTGACTGCTGTGCCAGCAATGAAGTTTGAATCTCTGGAACCCCTGTAAAAAAGGGGGGCACACACTGAGGAGGTGGAAGCAGGAGGCTGCCTGAGGCTCACTGGCCAACCAGTCTAGATGGATGGGTGAACTACACGTTCAAAGACCCTGACTTCAAAGGATCAGATGGAGAGCAATTGAAGGAGATACACAATGTTGACCTCTGACCTCCAAACACATGTACGTGCACACATTCATATACACATGTGCACACATGAACACATATACACTAACCCAAAGATAATACTGGCCTCAAGAATTTTAGTATTAATGGGCATGTAACATATGTCTTGACTAAGCATAAAAGTACATCCAAACTCAAGACTTTTCTGTTGAAAGTTGGTGGGAACCAAGTCCCACCACAGAGAGCAGCTGAGTCACTGTAACCCAGGGCACATGATGTGATGCAGGCAGGCTGGACTAAGACAGGTGTGATCCACAGCACACAGTATGATGCAGGCAGACTGGACTAGGGCAGGTATAACCCAGGGCCCACGTGTGATGCAGGCAGGCTGGACTAAGACAGGTGTAACCCAGGGCCCACGTGTGATGCAGGCAAGCTGGACTAAGGCAGGTGTAACTCGGCCCATGTGTGACGCAGGCAGACTGGACTAGGGCAGGTGGAAGCCGTGCCTCATGATCAGAGGAGCGGGGGAAACACACCTGTCTACTCTCAGAACTTCCTCCCTGGAGGAGTCCTGGCTCTCACTCCCACCCTATTCTCCAGAACGGCACCATCTTCCACACTGCTCACATGTCCCCTACGACTAGACCCTATTCCAGACCCAAGAGTGGTACAGACAAGGAGATCTGAGCTTTGCCGTCAGATCCTGAGGTAGAAACTGCCATGTAGGGGCCTGAGAGAGGTCTGACTGGGAGTCAGGGCAGAGCTCTTCCAGCTGGGAGGTCTCACCAGCTAGGCTGGGAGCCAGCAGCTCAGCTATCTTCAGACCGTGTTAGAGGCAAAACCGTGAAGCTGGCCAGCCCAGTGCGTGGGCAGAGAAGAATGCTGGGAAAGCTGTGGGGTCCAGGCCAACACTAGGGAGAACTGCCCCTAGAAAGGCCACATTCCCACCGTCCTGGGGAGTGTACAGGAGCCATATGGGAAAGCTTGGCCATAGAGAATAGATGCGCCAAGCACTCAGAAAAGGATAAGAGAAGAAAAGAGAAAGCCGGCCTGTGCAGATACAACCCTGGAGTGTCCTGTCTACAGCAGGACAGGAAAGAGCTGAGAGACAGCCAATGACTAGGACAGAGACGTGGGGGTTAGCCAGGCAGCCACCAGGCAGTTACCTTATTAGTGCCTTGGATATATCACAGTCCCAGCCTTCTGGCCGCTGCTCTCAGGCTGTGGCAAAAGAAAAAAAAAAAATCCTGTTCTTGTACACTTCCAAAAGATTAGTAAAAATTTTTTTAAAAAATTAATTTACATTTCAGTCCCTATTTTTAAAAGACTTATTGTTCCTTTTTAGAATATTTGTGTGTTGGGGGGAGGTGCGGGGTACTCTATGCCCATGTGAGCACAATTGCCCACAGAGCCCAAAAGATGGTGTCGGATTCCATGGAGCTGGATTATAGGGGTTTGTGAACCACTACGTATAGGTGCTCGGAACCGAACTTGGGTCCTCTGCCGAGTCAACTCTCTATAAAGTACACCTGAAATCAAATCCAACTGGTAACTGTACACTTACTGTCTATAGAAGGTACTCTAGTCAAGGCGATACATCAAGTGCGACTAGTGTGTGACTGAGCCAAAATGTGCCGTGTCCTGTGTAAATGGAGACTGCACTTGCTTTTCCCAGCCAGCCAGACCCAAATAACCACACAAAAGTTATATTATCTACAACACCGTTTGGCCAATGACTTAGCTATATTCCTAGCTAGTCTTACATCTTAAATTAACCCATTTCTATTCATCTATGTATTGCCATGAGGCTGTCTGTGGCTTACTGATAATGTTCTAGCATCTTTCTCCTTTGGTGGCTACAAGGAGTCTCCTCAACTCTGTTCTCTCTGTCTCTCTCTGTCTCTCTCTGTCACTCTCTCTGTCTCTCTGTCTCTCTGTCTCTCTCTGTCTCTCTCTGTCTTTCTCTCTGTCTCTCTCTGTCTCTCTCTGTCTTTCTCTCTGTCTCTCTGTCTCTCTCTCTCTCCCTTTACTCGCCAAGCCATTGGCCGAAACAGCTTTGTTCATCAATCAATAAAAGCAACACACATACAGAAGGGCAAGAAATAAAATTCAACCGAGGTTAGTGGTATCCAAAAGTATCCACATAGTGGGGTGTGGCAGTACAGACCTGTAACCCCAGCACTGGGGAGGCAGAGACAGGCACTACAGGTGTGAGGCCAATCTGGTCTATGTAGCGAATTTCAAGTCATCTGGGCTCTATAGCAAGACCTGGTCTCTGGAGGCACAGACCTTTAATTCCAGTACACGGGAGGTAGAGGAATGGGAATCTCTGAGTTCAAAGCCAGTCTGGCCTAGAGAGCAAGTTCCAGGACAGCCAGGGCTACACAGAGAAACCCTGTCTTGAAAAACCAAAACCAAGACCAAACAAACAGATAAACAATCACTTCTGGCTAAGATCAAGTATAAAAAGCAAAATCAAAGAAACACCCCTTTTATGGAACAATTCCTTCCCAAATCACTGAACACATCCCAGTGGGGAGAAGAGAAAAACACTCGGCTCTGGTTTACAAACATATTGGCTGGGATTTTTTTATTATTTTATTATAATAAAATATATTTATATGACATCAAAGTTGTCACTGTGGGGTTGGAGAGGTTACTCAGCAGTTAGGAGCACTGGCTGATTTTCCAGAGGACCCCAGTTTGATTCCCAGCACCCACATGGTGGCTCACAACCAACTGTAGCTCCAGTTTGGGAGTATCCAACACCCTTGTCTAGATTTCAGGGGCACCAGGCATACACATGGTACACAGACATGCATGCATACAAAATACTCTTGAGATCTTACTCTACCAGGAGTAGTAACAATAATCATTTCTCCATTCGATCATATTTATTCAGTATCTGCTATATGCTAAACACAGTTGTACACAGGGCTCATATCTCAGTCCTTACAAAACTTACTTTGTGCTGGGGCAGAGTAAGAGAAAAAAAGAGCCCAGTGGTGGCGGTGCACACTTTTAATTCTAGCACTTGGGAGGCAGATGCAGGTGGATCTCTGAGTTCTAGGCCAGCCTGGTCTACAGAGCTAGTTCCAGGATAGCCAGGGCTACACAGAGAGCCTGTCTTGAAAAACAAAACAAACAAGCAAAAAAAAAGAAAAAAA